TATATAATTATACCAAAAATAATAAAAACCAAATGTATATAATGAGTTACTCATTTTTTCGAAGGGTTTCACAAAATTAATTTAGATTGACGTAAATAAAATTTTAATTAAAATTAAATTCAATTCAGATTTTTAATCTTTAACATTTTGTACTTTTCCTAATTTTTACCCTTTAATTTTTTATTGTAGTATAACAATATCTTCAACTTATCCGATTAATTGGAACGTAACAGCTTTCACAAATACGTACTTCACAAATGCGTTTGAAGGAAAACCGGAACTTTTAAGAGTGCAGTTTAACATTTCACACGAGAACACTTTCACTACCTGTGAAAACTGTAAAAAAGAAAAATCATCATTCTACTATACTTACAATAACATCTTAAGCGGTTCTTAAACGACGTCGGTGGCTAGTGGCTTTAACGAGCCATGCCGAGTCCAGATCGTGTCTAACAACATGCGACTCGAACGAGGGTCTTATTTTGTGGAAAAGAAATCTTCTCAACAAACCTCTTGAATAAGAAAGAAGTGACCCTGGAGACCTATCCGTTGTCCGGTCAAAGCTAAGTTAAATATTACGTTCATTCATGCTGCTGCAGGGCCTATCACCCCCTTTGTGGCAACTTTATGAATGAACGTAAGATATTCTTCGATCCATTTCCGCCAAATTCCGTCTGCTTTTTTTTCAGTCAATCATAATGAGAGAAGTATTTCAAGCGACGGCATAAAGAGCACAGCTGTTTTATTAACTATATTAATATTTAATTATTTGCAATAATATTAAATATTTTAAAATTATCTTTTTTTTTTTCATTATTAATAAGACATGTCACTCGAGAAGGAAAAATTTCATAGTTTAATGGAAATTGTTATCTAATATGTAATTAAAGCGGAATATATTTCACTCTTTTATCAGTTGCTTATTAAAAATATTTTAAAAAGTATAAGATATTTGAATAATATTAAATGCAATTAATATAAATATTAAAAAGTAACTTTTTATGTCATTTTTACATTTTTGAAGATAATTATTTGCAAGAATGGGAAATAATATGTTACTTGTAACACCGTTATCGTTTTGAAAAGTAATATAAAAGTCAAACTGTTCCAACTCTTACGTCAAGTTATTACGTAAAAAAATTGCAATATCATCAAATCATTATTACAAAAAAGTAACTATGTTACAAGTAATAGATTACTTCTCATCTTTGCAAATAATAGTATTACAAAAAAAATTTAATAATGACATAAAAAATCGATTACTTTTTAATATTGTATAATATACAACATTAATTCGTTTAATGCTATTTAATATTTTTATTATTATGTCATAAAAAGATTGTGATGTTTTTAGATCGTTTCAGATCATTATTAAAAAAAAAGCAATAGCGGCGTTACAAGTAATGCGTTACATCTCTTCCTCCCCCCCCCCCCCCCCCATTTCTGATTATTTATTACACTATGTAGTTAAAACTTTGTGAAAGTATGGAAGTTATTCAACGAAATAATAAATTTTAAGAAGTAGAGAATTGTTTGAAACATTGCTCATAAAGAGATTTTTGAGCATAAAATATACACGATGATATTTATTGTTATTTTTTACAATAAGCCATATAGTTCTATTTCGATGTGAGAAAAAAGATTTGAGAAAAGGGGGAAAACCTTTTCAGTCTTTCTCAGAACCTTTCAAGTTTATCCAAATTTACTACGCTCTTTAACAGCCACTTGAAGTAATATCTTACAGAGAGAGAGAGAGAGAGAGAGAGAGAGAGAGAGAGAGAGAGAAGAGTAGAGCATTTTCATAATCTGAGATTAAATAATAATACTCGACTGTTCAAATCTAACATAGCATACTTCTGAGAAATGTCTTGGAAATATTCTTATGACATTCATTGGACATAAAGTCATTCTCTGGATTCATAGGACGTCTTTGCTGTATGAATGACCACACGCATATTTGTAAAAAATTATCTGCGTTGTAAATGCAATATCATACCTCGAACAAAAAAAAGTTCAGTTCCGAGATGGTCAGGGTTACTCGAAATACTTAACGGAAATTTTTCCTCTTCACGTACTAGCAATAAAATATAAGGATCGTCGGCACGATCTCAGGTGTTTTTCTTTTCGACTGCTGCGTCAGAGCAGGTACCGATATTGTGATGTTAATGGTGAGATATCCAGCAAAATCGGTGAATGGTCATTCAATATAGCACGATTTCCGGGATACCCGAATTCTAAAAACGACAAGATCCGAAGTGTCAAGTGGCCACTCGGCCGACAAGTATTTTTACGAAACTAAGCTTTGACCCTACGTCTCCCTCTAAACCTAACGATTTGAGATGAAAAGAATACCTGCTAACATTAAAAAATAATATTCTTTTTTTTTTCCAATATTATATTTCTTATTATATACTCATTATCTAATAATTAGCATTACATATAAATATTAATATAATAATACATATAAATATTAATATAATAATATATAAAAATATTATATATAAACAAAATTATAAATTATTCAATCAAAATTATTAAATTTTAACTGAATAATTATTAAACATTATTAGAAATACAAAAACTTCTTATTAATTAATCCATATTAATAAATCCAATTATTGTTTTAAAGAAGATTCTGTTGATATATTATCTCCGAATTACTATCCATAAATTTCATATAGCCAGAGCACAAATTTATTGTCTCAGAAAAAATTTGCAAAATGTATTTGAATGAATCTATTTAATTACTTAAATGTATTTGAATGAATCTATTTAATTACTTAAATATTAAAGATATGGTCCACTTGACGCTACAAATGCTTCGAAGTTTTTGATTGATCAATCGGAAGAAAGAAATTTTACTAATTGATCAAAAAATGCTTCTTAGCATTCTTAGCATCAAGTTGAACAGTAAAATCTGATTATTATAGTGTTTAAAAGTATAAAAATGAATGGGATAATCTAACAGGATAACCATCCGAGTTAATCTGCTGTTTGAAAAAACTATCCCTTTAACTCGGTTAAGATCTTCCGACGATTTCTATTGATAAACATTTATTTCGGATTTTCACGGCTTTTCGAAAGTACTTTCGAGATTTTTAAAAGAATATAAAAAAATGATCAAAACAGCAGCCAATTTCAAATAGAAAGGAAGAGAGACAGAACAAGAGAACGAGAAGGATTTCTTTGTTTGGCCACCTGGTTAATTTGAACTGCTAGTGACAGTAAAATTCTGTGTACCGCTACAATAAGCGATAAACTGTTAACTGCTACATTTTACTAAGGGTTCGAATCGAATACTAATATGGAGACGAACGATCCCTACAACGTAAAAATGAAGGTTGAGTCAGCGGTCAAAATCAATTAGTCGCAGAAAAAAAACTTAAAGTTGCTGTGCTTTTAATAAAATAATGTGCATTAAGATTTTACTAACTTAGAATTGAAATAAAAGAAATATAAAATTTCAATGATATAATATATTTTTAACACTTTTAATACTTACACTTATAACATTTAATACTCATTACTCAAATTAATTTTAACGTAATATCAATAAGTAACTAAAAATATTGCTGTTTTTTGGCTAAAATATGATATCTTCTCTCATAAAAATTTCTTATCTATCCCGGTGAAAAATGACAATTGAATCGATGTTAATTCGACGTCATTATTAAATCGACATCGATTCGATATCGATTCCGTCTCACTGGGATATGAACATATTAAGTATTGCAAATAAATTAATACTGAACAATATTTTCAAATATTAAGTTAAATCCCCGTCATATTGTTTGCACTCGCGCAAGTTTTTGCGTTCAAAAATGTTATTAAACTAGAAAGCTCGGGAAGACTCCACTCGATCATTGGAGGGTTACAATAATTCGCGAGCACGACTGCACCGGTGAAGCGACTACTATCCATGGCGGGGAACGGGAGAGAGCAGTAAAACAATGAGACGCAGACAAATTGGGTTGCGTGCTCGAAACAAGTTGGCACAGCTATCGCCAAACAGTCGTGGGATCCCGGCAAATGTTGCTCGATTGCCCCGAGAGCTCGAGACTTCTCCATTTTTTCCCGCCAATGCTTGGAACTTCCTGGACAAGGAGCGGATCGAGGGGAAAGGAGAAATCCGAGAAAAACGACGGACGT